GGTATCTTCTCCAGTGCTTGAAGAGATCGTTGACCGTGACACGCCAGACCCGGTGGATTGTGTGTCGCTTCAGATCCCGAACCCAGGATTTGGTGGATATATTGTACAAATGGGGGCGGCCAAGTGTAAAATGTAAGATTGTATGCATTGTGTATGATTATAGATAGCACCGACAACTCCCATCAGCAGAATTGGAACTGTCACAGCTCAAACAACCTTGTCTAGGTTCTGGCTGCTTGTCTATAAACATCGAATCTGTAGCATGCCTAGTTGGAGGCATCTACTTCAGCCACCCTATCGTTCTGACGTCCAGGATCCGCTTTTTCCTCGTTCTCATCCTACTTATCCAAATCGGAAGACGTACCGCGGTGCCTCAACCTCAGTGGTCATGATTTCTGCTATCCTCCTGCTCATCCTCAGATTCACCCTCATCCTGGCAGTTCCAAAATATTCAGCGCGACTAACCCTGAACTACTCATGCTCCTTACCGCCCTTGTTTCTCCCAAAGGTGTGCTTGTATCTGAGAGCCTTGATAGGCAGCATATGGGGGGAAGTTACCTATCCTTGTCAAGCAGGTCAACAATGGCGCTCTACCAGGAATTACAACAAGTTTCTTCAGGGGCAACGTGGAAGAGGTACTGTTTGTGGAACACCCAGAAGCGTGCTATTCGTGAAGCTAAGAGGCATATCGGGTCCACCAACACCCGTATTACCTGAATTTTAACGGCTGGTTCCAGAGCACATTCTATGCACATTGAGGTGGAGGCTGAATCTTGATCCTGAGCCTGCTGGAGGATGAGGAGCTTGTAATCCTTGACTCGTACGATCCTGTACCTGGCTCGGACGCGCTCATCGCGACCTTGGATTTCAGGATGCTTATGTGCAGCTTCAAAAAGTCGTGGGCGCGGTCCAATCACCATGTGGAAACCATGTATGCAGACCCCCAAAATGAGGGTTTGGCTCAGTCATCAAGGCAAATTTGGTCGCTGTAGATTTAAACTGCGTGATACAGCAAGTCAATTTTAATCAATTTGAGGGGTCACCCACTCGAGACTCACTTGCAGGCGCAGTTCAGTAGCATGAGGTTGTTGGGTTGTTGGCGATCAATGTTGGGTGAGCGGTCATGACAAGCTTCAACCGCGTTCGAGAGTACGCAGCGATATGGACAGTCAAAGGTTGCAGCCCTGGCTTTCAGAGCTTGCAATGGTCAGTGCGTTTTTGGCGCCTGAGCACCTAGGTACGAAATAGAATCGCAAAAGTCCCGTTTTCGGGTTTCCCACGGTGACACGGGCGAACACACATTCGTATTTTTAGATAACAAGGCGATTGTTGGTTCGCGCCGTCGTCCAACGGCACTGGTTCTTGCTCACCCCGGCGCCACAATAGGTTTTTTCACATACCCAAACAGACGTCATATTAGAGGTGCAGGAACAGCGTTTCGCGGGCCTGAGGACAAAGTCAGGGCGGAAGAAGCGATTCCATGTGGGAACGTGGGATCCTCAGGGACGGGCACTAAGCAAAGCGGATGACACTGGACAGGCCTGCCCTGGTGGACCCCCCTTCCCCGGAACCCGTCCTAGACAGCGGGAAGTTTGGGGCCAGCCATTTGGAAGCCATCTTGACCTGCTTCCCGCAGCATTGCTGCAGCGAACCAAACCCCTTCCGGGAACGCCCTGTCGCGGCGCTAAGTTGTGCTGGAGCGGGATTTGTCTACTATCCTTTTTTTTCTCCCTCTCGCACGCTTGTTTCCCATCTTTCATCCTTCGCATGCGGGTTTTGCAGTGTTCGCTCCCTGCAGCCAACAACAGACTCTGTGACAAACTCGCCGCCTCTTTCCCGCAATTCCAAAGTACCTTCCCGGCCACCAGCCGGCCAGCAGGACAGGGGACTGCGCCTAGATATCGGGCCTCCGGGACCACAAACCTCAACCCGCGATCGATCGGTTTACATCCCAACACTGGTTTTGCGGTCTTCAATCCGATCGGGAAAACCACAAGTCACAAGCCTGATATCAGCTGTGCATTATCCACGCCTTAGGTTCTGTTCTACGGCTCGCACGTGCCCCGGAATCTGAGGGAGTGTTTGAAAATCGCCTTGTCTTATAACGAGGGGCTCTCGGCTGATATCAATCCCTCGGTCTTCTACCCCTCCACCTGCCTACACCACCCACCTTCCTCTATCACAGACCCTCAATCAACGAAATCTCCAGCTTAGAAAACGTAAACCGACCCCCCCCCCCCAACAAACAAACAAATCCTTCGGAATTGCTTCAGAGTTGGGCGCCGTCGCTGGGTATTGCGCACCACACCATACCTCGACGTCGCCAAGATGGATCACTTTCCGCGCTTCAGACGCAGAAAGGATGTGCCATCGCCCACGATAATTACCGCCTCCCTCCCAAGCAAGACAACGACGACGCCTCCGTCTACCGATCTCCAACCTGCCGCACCCGTGCGTCCAGCGCAAAAGCTTAGCCCGTTTCGAGTATTTCACCGTTCGTCCGGTAAGCGGGCACGGGACTCACCACCCGCGTCGTTGCCGCACTCCCCGGCCGCCGCTGCCGTCCCAGGCCCCGATGGTGGCGCCGACCGCCCCGTGTCCCCGCTATCCCTCAGGACGGACCCCACGCGAGACGATGACGCGAAGGCGGTGAGGGCTCTCAAGATTCCCTCGTTCCTGGAACTCAGTCAGCAGGGTGCGTTGCAGACGAGGTAGTCTCCGGCGTGTTTTACCACATTGCTAACAAGTAGTTTTGCATTTTCAGAGATTGAGAACAAGTTCGGCGACTTGGTCTGGCTGGAGCGTGACCGCATGGCGCAAGCCGTCACCAACAATTCGCCTGATTTCCGCTGGGCGCGCGTGAAAGGGCCGCATCTCAAGGCCTTGGATCGCTACATCAATATTCAGCCATGGCAGAACCATCGCGTCAAGCTGCAGGTTCCTGAAGGTCATGTGGACTACATCAATGCGTCGCCCATCACACTTACCCCTTCGCCGCGACCGGCCAACGACTCTAGACCCGGAGAGGCGCGTGAGCCCGACCGCTATATCGCCATGCAGGGGCCTAAAGCATCATCCATCGACCATGTATGGAGGATGGCAGTCGAACAACTCGAGAGCCCGGGTGTCATCGTCATGTTGACGGAGACACATGAGGGCCACATGGAGAAGTGCTCTCCATACTTTCCGCGCCGCAAGGAGGACCCACCGCTCGAGATCAACGAACGCGACGAGTTTGGTGATGGTTTTCGCGCCACCGTGCGCTGTGAGGGCATCGAGGAGACCCCGGCCGGCGACGCAATCGAATTGCGCAAGTTGGTAGTCCGCGTACATGCGCGCGGCGGAAGCAAAGCCGAAACAACGACGGCTGATAGCAGCAACAGCAGCAGCAGCAGTCTCGATGTTCCCGTTCTCACTCCTGCAGCCTCGACCGAGAAGGACTTGGACGTGCACATGAAATCCCCCGGCTTGGCTGCTGCTGATCATCAAGTTCCGGAAGTTGTTATCACCGAAGCGCCAACCCGGCAAAACGAGTCGGGAGGTGAGCCGGAGGTAGAAGAGCGCATTGTGTGGCACTTCCTCTACAAGAAGTGGCCCGACTTTGGGGTCCCGGCTCTCGCCGATCTCGAGAGCTTCTTCACGCTGATGCGGCTCTCACGGGAGAAGAATGCTGGCCCCCACAATCCACGCATTGTCCATTGTAGCGCCGGCGTTGGGCGTAGCGGTACGTTCATTGCGCTAGAACACCTCATCCGTGAACTGGATGCTGGCGTTCTGGAACACTACGACGAGAGGGCCGCGACACCAGCTGGCAGGAAGAGTGCGGATGAGAGATCATTTCGCGCAAGTCCAAGTACTACCACGTCCAGCGGAGCTTTCGATGAAGTCACGAAACGCGGTGGTGAAGCCTCCCCCGCAACTACTATCATCGAGGAGGAGGGGGATGACCTCATCTTCTCGACAGTTAACCAATTGCGCGAACAGCGTAAGAATATGGTGCAGGCCGAGTCCCAGTACTTGTTCATTTACCAAGTTCTTCGGAAACTCTGGCAAGACAAGTATGGGTGTGGCAAGACCGAAGGTAGCGAGCCAGCAGCGAAGCGACTTGAGGTCGATCCCTTCCTTGAGACATGAGTCTGCTCGCTCTCAAACGACATCTTTCCGTCCAGCATCCTACACGGCGTTGTATTCGTCTTCTCGTTCGATCACACCCATTAGAGTAAAGGAAGCTGCGCCAGCCTCATCACAAACTACCGCTGCTTGGTATTGTGGATGGTTTAGATACCCGATCACATAAATTTTTCTGGTTTCTTCTAGTACGCCGTTCTGCCCATTGTCGGCTTTCATATACGGATGGCACCCTGCATGTTGACCGGCGTTTTTGTTTTGCGTCCAGGAAAGAGCGGGCAGTACACGGAGGATATATGGGACATTGCGGGACTCTTGATTACCGCTACTCTTTAGGTTTTGGTAGGGAATGTACAGTCTATACAGGATCATCCAGCGCATAGCAGTAAGACACTTCGGGACAGGCTTCACTATACCTTTTCTGGGCTTCACACATGTCGTGGTTATACTCGCGTGCGCTTCTCTTTTTCTGGTCTCTCGTGCTGTTCCTGTACTCGTCCCCCCCCCCGCGCCCGTTCCCCAAAAATAAGGTAGCGCAGACTCTAGTTTGTTGAGTAGAGATGGATCCGGGGGGGCTAACGCCCTCTCGTATCCCTTCTATTGTACGATAAGACAAAATGACAGCTAAATCGATCTTGCACCTACAAAGTTAGCGTACCGTCGTAATTCTACCTCCCAAGAGCAGCCGGCACCTAAGCTAACTAACGGGTGTCCTTTCCGGGCTCCTAGTCAAAACCTACAAGTCAAAGTTGATCTCGATCCACAGCGCCCCCACATCCAACCCACAAAACAAATCTCTCGCCGCAACTCCACCATGCAAGACCCGGTTTCAAAGTGAAAACTTTCCCCTGCCATCTTCATCAAGCTATCAAGGTCCGCTGGCTCAATGGCAGAGCGTCTGACTACGATCTTCATTCAGTCACGAGTCGGCGAGAACCCAGTCTTGGCGTGAGTAGTCATCAGGAGGTTCCAGGTTCGACCCCTGGGTGGATCGATCATCTCATCTTTTTGGAGTTTGTTCATGCGACGTATGTTCCTCTGGCAGTTCCACGGTACGCCGTTGTTGCCGGCGATCATGCTTGGTTCGTCGTATGAGACTAGTGCTCGTTCGTCTAACGCTTGCTGGGTGGGGAGAACGTCGGCTACAGACACAGGCAGACTAGCGGGCAAATCGGCAGGTTTCCGGCTGTTATTTGTGCATTGCGAAGATAGTTATTGGTGGGACACGGGCGGAAAGCGGTCCTGGTTCGAGCCAATTTCCCCAGGGGTTCGACGGCTATTCGGGTGAGGTGTATTCTTGAATCCAGGTTTGGACGGGCCTACTGTGTATGTATTGCGGCCGGAGGGAAAGGGGAATGTGACGTTAGCCTGGGCGGGTATCGGTGGCACTGAACAACGACCTCCGACAGCGCAGCATCTCCGCAGTCAGGTTCCGAACTCCGAACCACCTGGCCACTCTGGCCTTCTCGAGGGTGATGTGATGGGGATCAGGGCAGGAGGGAATGCTTGTGCGGCTGGAAACCGGCAGCGGATCTGTGGGTGTCCGCTAATATTCGTAGAATATTCGTCCGACGTCCGCATAAGCAGCCATTCATGGTCCGTATCGGATTGTCCCAACCTGGAGATTCTTTGGCCTTAGAAAAGCTTGGATCGTCCGCTCGGACGCATAGCTGCAGCCGATGAGGAGACGAGAATGCTTCTGGAAGCTTTGAAAGAGAACACAAGCCCGGTGCACTGACGCTAGTCTCCATTGAACAAACGGACGCTTGGTCACTAGTGTGGTCGGGATGGAGATGCTGCCATGTGTTGCCAGCCATGGTGTGCAACTTGTATCCGGTGTTGTATGGAAGCAAGAGTGTTGTATCGCAGCTGGAGAAGGGGTTTGCCCATTGCTTTGGAACGATGTCAAGGTGCAACCTGGCACCTCCAGCGGAAGGCAACATCGGACCGCAATGGCTAAACTTGCAAACGTGGTTGGCAAACTGCCTGTTTCTGACGATGCGTCTGCCACTAGAGGACGGCTATTCCTTGGTTGCGCTGCCGTCAGGTGTCTTGAATTAGATTGTGACTGGTAGGACCGAGCAAGACGGCCGACAGGTCGAGGACCACGAGCGAGTGCTTCCCGTCGGTATCATCAGGCCAGGATTGAATGTGGCCCGCTATTCGCGTGGCTGCCATGTGTCCGTGGGTAAGGGACGAGCGTACCCCACTCCCTTCTGACGGGAGCGCAAGGGCAGCAAGCCGTGGTGTAGCTGCAGAAGCGCAAATTGATGGAAATTGGACTCGGAAGTGCCGCTCTTTCGAGGCCGGCTTGGGTGCAGGGAGACGTCAGTTGCCCACACAAACCTGGCTGGTCTTTGATCGAAGCGGGCGTGTTGTCGGATGCGGACCTATCCTGATCTTCGGATGCGAATCCTGTCAGAAGAGTCAATTCATGCAGCCCGGGTGGATCATTTTCACTACAATTATCAGATTATCAGGGGAGTGCGTTCCGGTCTCTGACTATGCAAGCAGGTCGCGGCATCGTCCGGCGGGCATCAGCTTGTCAACGTGGCTCGCGAGAGATCGAGTCCCGGGAGCTGGAATGCTGTTGTGTCCGTGGTCACCCAACAACGACAGGCCAGAGATTGGGTGCGTGATGTGGAAATCTACGCATTTTCTGTCAGACCAGGTCAATACTGTAATGAATGGAATATGAGACTGTGGCAGCCTGGTAGCGCGAAGCGCGGGTGAGCTGTCGGGACGTTGCGGGGTGCATCCGGCTGCATGGTGGATGAAAACTGAGGAAAGGGCAGAGAGCATGGACGACGGGCCCTGATGGCCCGCAGCGACATCCACAACTTCACCCCAGGAAAGTACCTGCCAATCCCAACTGCCTTCTCAGTCCCTGGGTTCTGGCAACAAACTACCCGCCTAATTTTGCGAGTTGCCTCGACGCTCAGCCGCGAGTGACGAGACCCAAACGAGACGAGAGGAGCGCGAGAGAGGGGATGAAAGGTTAGAAGAGGGGCCCGATGTCATCTTGCCCCATCTTACCGCGAAAGGAGCATACCATTTCGGTAACATTGCGGCGTCTCAGCTTCACCCCATCCCTCCCCGAGTTTCCAGGATCATGGTCGGAAGACCGGCGACAGCCCACTTTTGGTATGGCCGCACCCACATCGGCTCTTCTCGAAGCATTTTTTAAAGGAAAGCCATCAGCCCTGCATCCCACATGTCGCTGTGTAATTATTCGTCACTTCATTCGCCTGACCTTCGCAACGTTGAGCGTTGCAAAATCTAGAACTCGCAAAACAACTTTTTTTTCTTGAGGCAAAAGTCATGTCCCGAGACTTTTGCTTTCGCCGTTGACGAGGGCTTCGTCTGCCCGGATCCCGAGTTTGAACCTCGGCAGAACGAGGCGGTGCCATACCCGCCAGAAAGCAAGGGGCCCAGTCAGCAGCTTGACGTCGACAGGACCCGACTTCGCCGACTCTGCTCAGTATACAGCCAAAATTCGCCGCCCAGCGCGCCCTTTCGGCGGGTTGCAACAGCGAAGTATTGCGGCGGGATCCTCAGCAACTCCCTCTGCGACTTGTCGCATTTTCGTCTGGTGCCCGATTGCGACCCCTTGGACGGGACCGAGATCAGATTCCGCGATTGATCGTGGGGTGAACAGACGGACGTCTGCGCTGCTTCCGCGGCCTTCGCAGGTCGCGGATAAGATAAAAATATGACGTCGATTGTAAGTCGAACCCCCATGGCTGCAAAGGAAGGATGTTGAATGGCGCACGCCTCAATGGGCGTGCTGCTTCTGGCTGCTTCTGGCTGCTCCTTGCTGCTGATTTTGCTGCGTCCCAAACACATCCCACGCATGCCCCCAATGCAACCCAACCCGCACACCGCCTGGTTTGGCGAACCCCCACATTGCGCGCCTGGGTCCCGGGGGGTCCTTAGGGCAGGCTGGCAGCCAGCTCACCACGTGCTTGTGTTTCATTGATATTGATGGCTCAACGGCGCTGGTCTGGCCAGACTTCCCATCCCCAACGCTCCCATTTTTGTTTCTGCGTTCCAGCGAGGTGTCGTGTCACAACCATGGGCACAATCGCAGAGCTCTTCTATCCCGTGGCGTCCCCCGGCCGCCATCATGCCACCGCTTACACTGATTCCACTCGATGCGCCTTTCCTTCCAAACCGCCGCGCGCGCAGCCCAACATGGCTGACGACCTCTTCGACGATGTGATGCTGACACCACCCACATTTCAGCTATGCCTCGCGCATTATTGCGATCTCCACGGGCCTACACCCTTGATGGTCACCGAAGGCCTTCCTGTGCCCTGCAGCAGCTGCTACGAAGACGACGTTCGCGGTTATCCCGCTGCCGAGTCCAATCGGCCGCGCACCAGCGCCCGAACATCCAAGGAGTCGGCGCAAACCGCCACCATCACCGAAGCCCTCAAACGTCTCGACTTCACCGGCGCGCAAAGAAGCGCCTCCCTTCCCGCCTCAGAGCAGGAAGCGCAGACGTACCGCGCAGCTCTGCGACGGGCCGCCCAACACGTCGCTTCGGGGTCCACGGTTGAGACACCCCCCCAGAGCCCTCGGCTTCCTCAAGGCCCAGGTCTTCAGGCTCAGCAAAAGCCCCGACATGAGTTTCGGAGGACATACGATGAATACGTCACGCGGCGCGCCGGGCCATGCGAGAATTGCGCCCTGACCCTACCGAAGCGCCAGGAGGGCGACAAGGACACCGGGGCCGACTCCCGATCCGAGCGCGGCCCTACCCTCCGGACCAGAGCGCCGTGTGCTCGAGTATTTGGTGGGACCGATAATAATTCGCCATCGTCGTCTCAGACTTCGTCCTCGAGCCCATCAGAAGACGAGTCTCTCGCTGGCCCGCGCCAACCCCCCCGACGCACCGCTACGACGGCCTCCGTCGCGTCGCGGTCTAGCGTTAGCTCCGCCGCCGGCGCCGGCGCCCACATACACTATCTAGATTACACCTCCACGCACGAGCCGCTGACCCCGGCCTCGTTCTCTGTCGTGCGCGCGTCCTGCCTGCGCACGCTCTCGCTGGAAACTCTTCCCCGAGCCCCGGCGACAGGGACCCCGGCTCCTGGAAGTTCGATATCAACGCCAAGCGCCTCGCCAATTACTCCCGCATTTGTCACGACGCACAGTGCCGGGTCTGCCGCGTCCGGCGGCCCCATCTTTTTCGGAGATCCCGCTGCGGGCTACACAACCGCTTACATTTTCCGCATCCCAGACATCCATGCACGTGGGCATAAGCGCGTGTACGCTTTCTTGGCGCTCAGCACGCACCGCGAGCGCCTGGCAATGAAGACGTTCGCCTTCGTTGCTGCTGCGTTCCGCGATATGGCGGCGTGGATTCAAACTTTGGCTGAGGCTGAGGCCGAACGCACTCTTGCCGAGTCATCAGGTTCGTCTGCAAGTAGCCCCGTCATCGCCGGCCCCGGCTACGGAAGCTTCCAGTCGGATCTGCCCGCAGCCCCAGCTTCGACCGGCGGCAGCAGTTTTTTGATGGGAGGCGGTGGTGGTCTCTCGAGGCGGATGGGGGGTGGCTTTGGCGGCTCTGGCGTTGCTCTCAAGCCCAGAGGATTAGCAGAGCTGGTTGGTCTGCCGGACTTCTTTATCGAGATGCACAGCCAGTTCGTCAGGTTACTGCTCGAACTAGGGGTCGTGCTCGGGTCTTGAACGCCATTTCTCGATATAATCTCGGCCCCAGCGAACATACCGCCGACCTCGCCTGGCTTACCACAACCAACCTCGGATGATGCCAATTCCAACACAGGTGTTTCATCCGTCTTTCAACAACTACCGGGCCGCGGCACAGGGATCGGAAATAATGCGTAATGAAGTAATGACGTCAAGTCCTCAACGGACTGCCGAACGACTTGTACAACGGGGTGCTAGCCGCCGCATACAACAATCATGGGGAGCTGTTGCATATGTTACATTAGAAGCGATGTTAGGGACCTACGTCGCATTGGGTTA